AATCTCGTCGATGAATCGACTCCACGTTTGGAGCGGGGGGAGGGGGGGAGAGGGTAGGTTGTGATTTGATTAAACCGCGCTGCCGCTTCTCCGCAAAACGCGAGAAAAAATTTGATTCGCGATCGATGCACGGTATGGAAATTTTTCGCGGCCTTGCGCAAAAATTCCTGATAAATTTCGCAGCTCTCTCTCTCTCTCTCGAGTCTGTTCTTTCGCCGCGTTGCGTCGATCATTTTCCCGATCAACGGCCGTTGCTCTTCATTATTAAAAAAGAAAATCGATGAGCCGGGGCCGCGTCATGAATGCCGACCTTCTGTCTGCATTTTCCAAACGTTTCGCAGTTAGAGGAAATGAAAAGGATTGGCAGCGACGGCGAAGGGAGGGGGAAGGGGGGGAGAGGGAAGTTGTTAGAAGACGAGACGCGGAGGAACGATAAAAATGATCGATAAAGTCGTCGTGTCCTGCGGCCGCCGTGGATCCGGCATTTAGGAATTTATATTAAAATATGTAAATTTATCGGTGCGGGCATATTTGAAAACAGATAAATTATGCTGGCCATGTATCGCGTTCCCGTGGTAAAATATATCGATGTCGGCGATGGCGCAGCGTGGAGGGCGCCAGCGGAACCCGAAGTTCCTCGCATAACGGCACGTTCTGTCGTCCGGCAGAAATACAATTTATGACGATCATTGTGTAACGATCATAAATTATCTTGTTATTTACGTGCGCGTCCCGCGCTGATTCTCTCGTCCGCGCTGTTTTTCTGCTTCTCTCTTGGCCCTCGTCACGTTACGCATCGACCTCTCGAAATCAGCCTGGATTTCGCTCGATCGGACGCGAAGGTCGTCGTTGCGATCGACATTCCCTTCGAGATCGTCGATCATTCAGCTTTAATTCGTTCGGTCAAAAGAAGAAAAAACAAAACGTTTCTTTTTTTTCGATTTCAAGAGAGTTCGATTTCGTTGAAAATGTCTTTCTCCGTTATTTCCAATTTTTCCATTTCTTTTTTTCTCTCTCTCTCTCTTTTTTCGTTTGACGTGTTCGTCCGAAAGGAAAACAAACACGGATGTTTAATATTTTTCGCGACGCAGCAACGAGCAGTGTCACGGCGTAACAAGATCCGTCGATGACAAGGAGAGGAAAAAACGAGCGTGTTATTGCGTTACGGTGGACTTGCTTTTCTCGCAGAATGAATGGAAAAGTTCACGAGGTTGGTTAGTTTACTGAAACCGAGTAAACGCGGCGCTCTCGACAAGTAAGCCGGAGACGCGCGCGAGATTCAGATTTGCGACGAGAGGGCGTGATGTTTTTCAGCATGGTCCCCCCCCCCCCCCCTCCCTCTCCCCCATCGGTGCCTTTTAATTCTTGATAAATGTTAAAAGCTTTTAAGCTTGCCGTTTCTTATTTATCCGGAACCGTTCTCTCTCCGGCTTCTGCGAAATATCTCCGTGTTTTTGCAGATGTACCAGCTGAATGTTTTAAATTTTCGAAAGGAGAGTCTGCACGCGATTTCGCATCCCCGACGACGTCTCAGGCGATGTTTCAGCATACATCTCTCGCGAAATCCGTCTCGTAAATGGTTCCCCTTCGCCGTCTAGCGTTTCCCGCTCAATATTACATTACTCGCAACGATCGAACGCGACGGAACGCCGGTCAGACAGTCGGCACTTGGGGAGGCTCTTTAACTTAGACGCTAACTAGATTCGTTAATTAATAACTGCGATACATCCCGTAAACTCCAAATAGTGCGCATTATCAAACTGTAAACCAGAACTGTTTGGAAACTCTGTGCACTTTGAACACTTAGACCCTCGGAAATGGCCGCCGAGATGATTTCACTAGCGGGAGGATTTGATACACCGACTGACGAAAATGGTCTGAACGCTTGTAGACACTTTTACGTGCATATTGTGGGGAAAAATGAAACCATCTGATTTGTAATGTAAAGTTTATTAATATCTATGTAATTAATAACACAAAACAAAGTGGTATTAAGTAGTTATTATCGCTATTCTTTAAAAAAAGAAAATCTTGCCCTCGAAACCTCTTGTCTTCATACGCATTTCACACACTCACACGCATACACACAACCGTATAAATACGCTCGTATTTTACGTCTTCAGGCTAGAGTGGCTAGATAAACAGTTCTGGATTTGTTTTCTTTTCAGGTGACAATTGCTCTTAGATCATGACAAGTTGCAGCGCTTTCGAATAAACTGTATTGTGTCAAGTTGTACAAGCGTACAAATTGTGTATTTATATATTCCTTACATAAACACCGGCTAATACTTACTCTAGAAATTAAATTCCGCTGTAGCTGTTGGCTCGAAGAAATGCACGACCAGCCAGCCACGTCGAGGCGGAGGCACGGCCGGTTTTTCGCGACAAGTTTGCACCGGTAATTGCGCCCGACTTCAGGAATCGCAACGTCGATTCGCAAAACGGAGTTGGCAAACTGAAATTAATTGCGCGTTCGCTTAAACGCGTTTTCGTTCGGATTTATTGTACGACCGGTTCGGTTTAGGTTCTCCATTATCGGGGAGGGCTGGTAGTTGAAGTTAGTCCGGGATTCCGCGAATTCCTCAATTTGCAAGAGCCAGCCGCCCGTCCTGGGGACAAACATCCCGATTTAAGTTCCTTAAATGCATTCGTAACTGTTTCTGACAGGCAACGCCCGCCCTTTGTCTATGCTAACTGTTGTTTGACCGCGTTTCCTCTCCGCGTTCGAACAAGTCCCGAAGCGGATTCCAAGCAACCCTCCCCCTCCCCTCCACCGTGGAAACTCTCCGGGTAATTAACGAACGCGAGTTTCTCAAAATTCTTAGTCCCTCCGATGTATTCGCCATTCACCGTCTACGCGAACGTACAGATTCCAAGCTAAATTCGCTCGGGTAAATTGCAAAAGTGCAACGCACGTGTATTTCTCTCGCTTTCGAGACTCTCGCGACTCAATTTGAGTAGCCAATTTTTCTTCTTTTTCTTTTACATGTATATATGTGTGTGTGTGTGTGTGTCTTTTTTTATCAAATTTGTTGTGTCACCGATGTTGATATTCGATGTATTCGTTTAACGATCGATATTAAAAGGGGCGGAGGAGGAGGCTGTCGGAGGATCGACCGTTACAAACTGACTCCATTTCGTTAGGTAACCGCTTTTGTAACGTAAACCGGTTTCAACCGTGTTTTTCAAGGTTCAGTGGAGAAACGGTTAAGTTGATGTGGGGAGGAAAAAAAAAAAA